CAAGTTAAAGATAAGGCGCCTGTCAGAGATTAATCCAGGCCTGCTTGATTGTTTTCTTTAATACCAGACCTGCTACAGCAAGCGATAAGTTTGCTGAGTAATTTGGTTTTCTAGGGGACGGGCAGCGAGTGGGTGGCTGGGTGCTCGAAATAATATTCAGGTGTGCTCCATAATTGATTTTTTTTCCAGCCCTCAGTTCTCAAAGAAAAATGAGATGAAACTCAAAACTGCTTTGACTTGCCTTTCTGTTCACCCCGCTCCCTCTCTCTCTTCTTTTCTCCCCCCCTTTTTTTGGCTCTTCCCTTCTCTTTCCCCTTTGGATTAATAAACTGGCTTTGTTGAAGACAATAAAGGGAAGGAGAGAGTGTGCTTGAGGAAGCATTTTCTCTCTTCTTGCAAGCAGCTCCATTGTGATGGTTTCTGAAAGAGGCAGAAAAGAGAGAAGGATGGGTACACTGCAGACAGACAGCGCAGTGCGTGCACGTGTCTCACGTCCTGATGAGTCGGAGGAAAATGAATGCAAAGAACAATAGATTAAAATCTATTAGTCTGGTAATGAAAAGCGCGGAAACAGTTACCCTATGTTAATTTGGCTGCAGAAATAAAATATGTAAATACGGTATGGGAGGGAAAACGAGTTGGGGAAAAAATGCTGCCTAACTCATCTGAAAGGACTTTTTAATTTTCTTCAGCAATTACCATCCTTTCCGCTTTTCTATCTCTTCCCTTAGAGATCATTCTCGTTAAGTTTTTCTCACTTGCTGTATAGGAAATGCTTTGGGAGACATACTTTAAATTAGAATCATCCAAAAAGACAGCAGACTCATCAGAAAATACACATATCTGTGAGTTCCCCTAATTGTATTTATATTTTTCATTAGATTTTATATTAAAATAGGTTTCGCGTGTTTGAAAAGTATAGCAGCACACAAGCCAAATCTCAGTGAAATGTTTTTCATCAAATCTGTTGTTTATCATCATAATTTTCCAGCCTTTAAATGTCATCAGCAATTCGAGGTAAATTCGAGAGGTAAAGAGGCACAGTGCAAAATTACCTCAAATTATTGGCGTATCTCTGTATTTGAGTAAACAAATTGTTTTTACCCTGAAAGACGGACTGGAGAAACAGACACAGAAGAAAAGAAAAGGTTCTTATATTTTTCATCATTTCACCATTTTGGTGCCAAAAATCCCTCATCTCTCTGCCTCTCTCCTCCGTTCTCCTCTCCCTCCCTCTCTCTCCTCCATCCCAGCCACTTCTGCAGAAGATGGTCTGTACTCTAGGGCTGTTTTCCAATTACGGCCCAACCTTTTCAGAGAAGGTCATTATAATTAGAGATCCATTTAGCTTTTCTGTGAAAAGCACGAAATAATTTTTTGCGATTGTGGTCTCTGGAAGGAGAAGAAGAGGGGAAAAAATGCTGTAGTGCTGATCTCAAGTGGCTCTATTATTATGGTTGGGTAGACAGGTTGCATGCATTAATGGCTTCACTTGGGGGAGCGACTGGCCTTTTGCACATTACTAGTGCATGAATGGAAAAAGACATCTTGGAAATAGCTCTCCAAATCAATACGAGGCCTGTATGTGTCTGTGTGTTCACCTCAGCAAAGAGAGAATAATGAGCACAGGAGGACTTCATCGGGAGTGGAAGAAGTCTTCATATGTAATCTGGGGAAAAATGATTATAGAGCTACTGAGTCCTGTTCAAAGTCTTGCTAAGATTGCCTTTATTATAATATAGTAACAACTGATACTGTGGATGTAGTTCTATAACTGTAGTGGTCTGGATCACAACTAATGTACCTACTACTGTAAAACTTCAATTAATAGCCGAGTCCCAGATAGCCGCCTATCTCCTTTAATGGCCTGTTGTGGGAACACATTTTGACAAATAAACGCCTGCCTCAATTTAACGCCTGGTCTAGTTTTTATAGAGGTTTTTTGGATGTATAAGACCTCTTAAACCCAGCGGGGTCGCCTGCTTTAGCTGCTTCTAGGCTGCTTAGATCATTGATACAAATATTAATGTTTAAACGTATGATCAATATGCCCATACTGTATGTACATGCTACACATCGTTAGATCGGTTTGATTCTCCACAATTCAGTTCATTTAACAGAAACAACAAGCCCCAAAGTCTAATTTTTATAGATCTACCGGTGTAACCTGCCTGGTACATGAGAGGAAAGGGAATAAAGTGCTGACTGCCATTACTTTCGAAGCGCTCATTAAGTCCGAATGTATCCATTCCTTGATTATTTATATTCCTTTAGTCTGTGAGGGTCCAAATCAAAAGATTCAAAACAGCGTTTCATAAAAATTAATCCTAGTTGTAAATCCTGTCATGTGAAGTCTATCGCTCTCTGCTAACTTCTGCCACAATTCTCTCTGTTCTCATCCTGCACCCTGTTGTTTTCGTGTTGTTACTTCCAAATAAAAGCACATAAGCCGTCTGTCGGAGCTAGATCAAATGAATGACGTGTATTTGATGTTATTTGATCATTTTTATACAAGTATTATTCTGTTTGAAATAAATAAAACTGTTTCATAGTAGTTTCAGTTATGCGCAAAAGGAATTAAAGGCTTGTCCCAAATATAGGCAGGGTCAATTCAGTGATTTTAGCAAATAAAAGCCCGGGCTATTATTCAAAAAGTTTTACAGAATTTGTAAAGTAAAGGTCATCTTTCTTTTCTTAACATTAATTGACCATTCACTAAACCCCGGTTTTGATGGCCTTTCCCCGGAAATGTGTGTTACCCAGACTGTATAAGGTGTTAACAGACCTGAAATCAGATTTTACGTGGCCAGAAAGACTGGACAGTGGAGCACACAGGTGTCATGCCGAAAAGTGATCGTCCCCCGAAATCTGATTGCCGTGCAGCATGTTGAAGCTGTGTCGCCCAGTCTCTTTACGACTACAGCTGCATCTGGGTCAACCAGACATAACGTGCAAATAAACATCACTTCATGTCTGTGGTGATAACAAAGGTATGTCTTTGAGATACTTTAACATTTCCTTTTAACGGAATAACCACAATTGTGGCCTAATAAGTGTTTGCAGTTTATAGCGTAAGCAGGCATGACATTATACGTGATTATAGGCAATAATAGAAGCCTGTTGTTGCCGATGGATTATGTGTTTGGTAGGCGTATTTCTAATATCCTTGTTTATATTTGGAAAACAGACTATAATTAACATGACTTACTGCTGAGTTATATATAAAATAAAGACATGCACTTTTTTGCAATTATCCTTACGACTCTACATAATTTAACTTGCTGTGTACCAGCAAATCCAGTCCTTTTTACCTGTAATGCAGTATTTCACTTCCAGAGAGTGATGGCAGCTTCTACTTATTGACTGAAAGGTAGATTCTGCCTCTAAATCACTTTATTTCATTCAGACGAGTTATATTTGACAGATTATAACTCAGCTAGTACTTTTTACCTCTTAAAATACCTTTAAATGGCCAAAACAACACATAAAAGGCAGTATTCTGTTACGGTAAGTGGTGTGGAGAGGCAGGTTGGCAAGGTTGGAGGACCCAAATGCAGGACGCAAGGCAGAGAGACAGCGGAGGGGAACACTTAACACAAACTAAGATACGATACAAGACAGATACCAAGTAACTTAAAGATGTGGCTGAATAATAATAATAATAATAATAATAATAATAATAATAATAATAATAAGGGTTACACAGACGAATGAACGAAATCATAACTAAACAGATCATAACCACAAAACCAGACACACAGACAGTACCAGACCAACCAATACAAACACACATAACAGATACTGGACACCGGGCACTAGACAGGACAGAACCCAAAACTCAACATACTATAGGACAGATAATAAACTAAACCCAAAAGTGCAAAACAAGGTATGGCTGACAGGCAGAGTGTGACAGTAGCCCCCCCTCAAAAGGACGGCCCCTGACGTCCCAAAGCGAAACATCACAAAAAACAAACAAACAGGTCAAGCCGGCCCAGGGTGGGTGGAGGAGGACAGGAGGAGGGCTAGAACAAAACAAAAAGTCTTAGGCCAAATTCCTGTTCCTCGTGTCCAGTCGGTGGTCCGATCGACTCCTGGTCCCTCGTCGGTGGTCCGACCAACAGTTCCTCGTGTCCAGTCGGTGGCCCAGCCGATTCCTGTTCCTCGTGCTCCGTCGGTGGACCCACCGGCAACAGCTCCGCCGGTGGTCCGATCGACTCCTGGTCCCTCGTCGGTGGTCCGACCAACCTTAGCCCAGCAGCTCAGTCCGTGGTCCTCAGCCCAGCTCTGCCTCCTGAGGTCCCAAGCCTCCTGAACTGTTTGCCTCACCTGAATTTGGGCCCCTGAGATTCTTGTTTTGGTTTTTGGCCCTCCTCTCCTCCCTCCGCCCACCCTGGTTGGGTCTTGGACTTTTTTTTGTTTTGTTGAGGGGTTTTGGTTTTGGGACATCAGGGGACGGGTACTGGGTAAACCCAGACTCCCAAACAAGACACACGGACAGGATCATGACAGTACCCGTCCCCTGACATTCCATGTCCTTAGTTCATGTTTTGGTATTCATTCCTGGTCCTTGTTTGCATTATTGTGGTTTGGTCTCCTCGGTGTTCTAGTTCTGTGTTCTCGTTTAGGTTCTGGTTCTTTGTAACTTGTGTGTGTTTCTGTCTTCTTGGTTATTCACTCTGCCCCATGTCTGCTTGTCTAGTGTTCTGTTTCCCCCGCTGTCTCTCTGTCTCTGCCTCGTTAGCCCTGATCCCGCTCACCTGTGTTGCTCCCGCCCCGCTTGTTAGTCCCTGTGTATATTTATGCCTGCTTGTCTCTCCAGTTTTTGTCACGTCCTTGCATCTAATGTTGAGTGACCTGCCTGTTCCTTCGTTTTCCTTGTTCTGGATAATTTTTGTGTTTTTGGATCGCCTTGTGTTCTGGATTACCTTTGTTTGGACTTTGCCTCGAGCTCCTTGTAAGCCTGTTTAAGTTAGTTTTTTGAACTGCAACCTCCTCGCCTTGCCATTGTCTGCATTTGGGTCCTCGCCTCAGTCTGCACTCAGCACCCTGACCTGTGACATATTCAGCCTACCAGACAGTGACTGCATCCTCTACTTATTAACTGAATGGTTAATTCTGCTCTGAAATGACTTGATTATATTGGTTATATTTGACAGGTTATAAAACCGTAATGTTATATATAATGTTTTTTTATGACATACTGACCACCAATCCAAAAATGTCCCTGATTTTCATTTCAGAAATCTGGTCACCGTATGCTATATTGCATTACCTCGTTAATGAATAGCTCATCAACTGCAGTATGTCGCCACTGTGTAAAAGTCAGATCTGGATGCTAACAGAGTTTAGGCTAAAGTTAGCATCCCTGCTCTTAACTGGATTTGAGGAAGTTTACACTACAGCAGCCACAGCAAAACCTGTTAGTCAAGAGCATTAAGTCATTATTGTACCAACAATACTAACTGTGTTACAATAAATGAGGTAACCCGAACACAGACTCGGATGCAAGGTGAAGAAACAGGATATTATTGTAACAGATTGAGAGAATGGGGGAGGACTCCGGCTGGCGATGGTGAAAGTTAAGGGGAGAATGAAGGTGGGTGAGCTGAGCTGGGAGTGTGGGATGAGTGGTAAGCAGGCGAGGCAAGAGCTTGAGGTGCTAGGCTGTGTGTGGCAGGCTGTGAGGCTAGCAGCCTGGCAAGAGCTCAGGCAATGATCCTGAGGCACAGAAGACAAGGCATAGAGCTGAGAAGGCGCTGAAACAACAATCTAGTGAAGAATGGATGAATAACCAGGGTTGATATACTGCTGGGCTGATGGATTGCAGATGGGTAAGTAATCAGGCCGGTGTGCAGGTGATCAGGTGGCGAGAGAGACAGTGAGCGTAGCGCCACGGCCACACAAAACACCTAGAGACATGACAGGGGAAATACAAAGAGCTAGTGTACACAGGTTTTAACTGGGAGACATGAAATGTGGGGTGTATTTTCATGGAACGTGGAAGTTTTAGTCTGACAGCTGAGGGATTGATCGTAGAGTCAGTCTTTAAGGTAATGTCATGAGAAGAAAACCAAACCTTTTGACCTGGTTGATGGACAGGTGTAGGGGTCCAATGCCAAGATTCAACTGTTGTAGTCTGTGGAGCAAAGCAGGGCAGAATGGGCATCTCTGAAGAATCAAGATGAGCTTGGACTGAAGGAACCGCAGTATCCTCTTCCTGGACAGAAAGGAGGACAAAAAGAGGGTTGATATCCCAAAGAGCTCTGAAAAGGTCACATACCAGTAGCTGCAGTGTGTAACACCCCCAAACTAATTCCCAATTGACCAACCAGTGTATAAAATAAGCGGGCAACAATAGAACTCGCTGTACAAAATATAACCTCCAAATTTATTTGTATAAAATAGACATGCAAAGGGTTAAAACAAGACTGAGGCTAAGATAGTTCAAAAGAGAGTTCAAATGGGGGAAACTGTTAGTTAAACGGAACTGCAGTTCGTCGTGGCTGGGTGTGCTCAACTTCGTCTTCCTGTGTGGGCGAAGCCAAACACAACAGGAACGGGTCTGCTGTTGGTCACAGGCTGGTCGGTTGTAGCCTCACTGCTTGGGCCTCTGGTAACTCTACTAAGTAGCGGTGGCTCTACACCGGCAGCTCCCCAGACCACGACCCAGCCGTGTACCACACTCTTGCAAAGAATCAGCAGCCTCAGCACACCCGCACACTGCACACAGAAGACAAACAGAAGACTGTGAACAACATCAATTTATAAACCATCATAACCATCAACCACCATAAGAGCTACCCCCAGGGAAGAAGACAGTCAAAATCACTCTGTACCTGCACACGGGAGACAAACAGAAGACTCTTGAGCCTAGTGTGTGGCTGGTTTGCAGATGGATGTCATGCCCAAGCACACCTGTCTGCCATTAGTCCATACCCATGCAATTAACCCAAGTGCAAAACCACACCCACCAATTGCACACTCACTCTAAGTGCTCACCCCTCACACTACCACTGCACTCAAAATTGGCTGATACAGGTCTGCCCCGTTACACCGTGTGCTCCAGGAATATGGGTTGTTGACAGAGATCCAGCGGAGGGTAACTTCCAGATCCTGATTAACTTGTTCAGAGACACTTGTTCTGGGACTAATATCAGACAAATAATATAGCTTGCTGTGCAGTTAATTGTGTTAACAGACCGTCGCTGCCAACTTAATTGGAGTGTATGCTAGAAGTCCGGTAACTGGGCTATGTTGGGAGCGAGGTAAAGCTAGATTAGTTAGGGTGTAAAATTAGGTGTGTGGCAGACATTTCTCAGTTTGTGTCTAGGCTCTCTGGCTACAACTTTTTAACCTGTGATCTTTCTCTCATGTAGGACGTATGACGGCCCCTGCTTGCTTAACCTGCTTGTGTGTGTGCTTTGTCAGTAACTGTCTACCCATGTTGTCTTTTGAGGTGCCAGAAGTGCTGATTGCAGTATCCAACCAGATGTGGAGCGCCTGGTCCCAGTGCTCTACAGGATGTAAAAGTCCCAGCTTCCATCATGGCTCATGCTCTTCTCTGCCAGCTCCTGCATCCTACTGCTTTTATTTTTACTTTTACTCCACAACACCTTTTCCCACAATACTACGGATTTCACTGGCGAACGCACTTTGCCAAATTATGACACTGATTCCTTTCCACAGGTTCTGTCATTATAATTACTGTTAAAACTGTTACACAGAGGATTTATTTAAGTATATTGACTGTATATTATTTCAAGTCTTACAAAATTACTTTTACATTTGTAACCTTTTAATATTAATGTTTTTTGTGAATGCAAGATGATTTAATTTGTTAATCTGTTACTTGTGTATGGGTAATAATTTTTGTTTTAAAAAATAGATCAGACTAAATATAAGATAAGATGTTCCTTTATTGATTCAAATTTGCACAGATAATTATGCTTACGATACAAACGCTTAATGGAATGAAAGTACTTTCTTAAAAGATGTAATTTTCCTATTTCCAGTTTCCTATTTCAATTGAAAATATAGTGATGTTCTAAACCTTTGACAAAATATGATAGTTATTAGTTATAAATTAAAATATTAAGATGGTATTTATAGGTTAACATTTTGCATATATCTTAGTAGAAAGTAAAAATTTTATGCTAACAGACAAATGTGACATTCACTGAGAAACATTTCTGTATTGTCAAGAACAAAGAGTTATCTGCACACTGAATAGTTTTGAAGCCCCCTAGGAGGTGTCATTTATGGCGACCTCTGAGGTAGTCTTGTGGGTATTACACAGCTTATACTGTAAAGTGACACAAAAAGGGAAAAAAACACAATCTGCTGAAAGAATGCATCTATTTGTCACAGGGGCATTCGATCAGCTGATTGTCTCTTTTTGCCTCACAATATAAGCCACAGAATACCTGTTTGCAATGTTGCAATTAATGATAACACCTACTGGGATTCATAACTACTCAGCATGCCAGTTGTTTTTCACTTTAAGCCCTTTTATCCAGCACTTTACCGTCAGGTTTGTTTGGATGTGTGCACTAGACTTATATATCAGATTAGTAAACAAGGCACTCTGCTACCAGTGCATCTATATGAATGTAGTCCCTGGCCATCTGCAAGCATCTCTGACTACTGAAATTTTAAAAAAGGACTTAGAACATTTCTTTTAGCAATGAGGGCAAAGCAACCTATGATTTTTAATTAAATTAAATTAGTGTAAGAAATGCTCCAGATAATGAAAAACGTAAAACCAACTGGCTCAGTTTTTATGTTGACTATTATGTTACATCTTCAAGAGAAAATGTGATGAGCAATACCTCAAAATATAGATGGCATACGTATATTTTCAATGTAATATCGGCTGTCTATAGTCAATTACAGTTTATACTGAAGTAATAAACATCTTTTAACAAATAACAAATATAAAAGCGCCTTTCTTTCTCGCTGTCGATGGCAGTACTCAAATCAAAAATCAAATTCAAAATAGTGGTGTGGGGAATTACAAGCTTTATTGTAAGCTGTTATGTACACTGTAGATTTTCAAATTTATTGTTTGGTATAATTCCTTAATAGAAAAAATCAAGTGACATCGAAATAAATGACTAATAACTAAAGATATTTAAAAATCTTAATTCAGGTTTAATTGATTGGCTTCATAGTTAAGTGCATAGTTAGGCAGATTCACAGCCAAGATGGCGACGGCTGACCTATGGGTGACGTCACAGACACTACATCCATTTTTTGTTTTCTGTGGTCCTAGTGCATGGGTGGACTAAATCATTAATCACTAAATCACAATAATGCTAACTCTGGTTAACGATGACAACATGCCTGAAAATGTGGAGGAATAATCATGAGTGAAAAGAGATATTTCCTTAGCGAGAAATTAAACTCTAATGAGGAAATTGTAAATTAACACTTTTACATCCCAAATTACACAGTCAAGAACAAAATAAACAATGTAAGGTAAACCACTATTTAGCATATTAACCCTTTTTAAACACATGACGTATTTTGACTACATTAATTAATTTTATGGTTTTAGGCAATTCTGAATGAACGTCTGCTAATTAATTTATTATCGTTTTATAACATCGGTAAACATTTTAACATCACAGACCATGAATTGACTATACTCAAATAACTTATATTCGGATTATTAATGTGTTCTCTTTTAACTTGTCACAAAAACAGGTGAAAGTAACATGTCCCACACTGTTCTACTGTTTCCACGTTATCCAGTCCATGATGAAGGAATGTAATTGTCATGGGTGGCTGAGTGCAGTCTTAAGTAGCAGAGGTGTGCACCCAAATGCAGACGATAGGCGAGGATGTTGCTGTTCAAACAAAATATACCTTGGGTGTGAGAGACCCGGGTTCCCGCTGTGACCCATCCACCATTGTGTCCCTAAGCAAGACACTCAACACCTAGTTGCTCCAGAGGCGTGCAACCTCTGACATGTATAGCAATTGTAAGTCGCTTTGGATAAAAGCGTCAGCTAAATGAATAAATGTAAATGTAAAACACGGAACAATAAACTAGGAACAAGGCAAGGACGTCACAAAGACTTAACAGAGCTGAGGTTAATATACACACGCACACAAGCAGGCAGAGCAATTAAACATACAAATAACAGGAAACAAAGCTAGACAAGCACACATGAGAACTGAACACTACAAAATAAAACAAGTAGTAAAGCGTGTGAGAAGACACAAGGACAGAGTTACCAAAGTAAAAAAGAAAATGGGGAACAACTCCCAAACAGATCAAAACCAGGGCAGGGAACAGACACATGAGCAAACAGGAAACAGGACTACACTAACATGGAGACATAGGACTAAGAACTAAGACACAGACACAAGGAGAGAACAGTCAGGGCACAGTGATAACATGGGGAGCAGACAGAAACTAACTACAACCAAAAAGAGAAACAGACAGAAACAAGGATGAAACAGAACACAAGGTAGACAAGACCGAAATGATAAAACACAGAAGTACACAGACCAGGAATAACACTAAACATGAACTAAAGCACAGAATTAAGAACTAAGGCTACAATGAAAAACACAAAACCATAAACCAAAACCAGACCTAAACAGGAAAACAACCGTACAAAACCAAATTCCTAACAGTAATATTCACATTCATCCACAACACGGTGTGTGTACTAAGTAGCCTTTGTGCTTTTCACAAAATATATGAGATACTGCTTATGGAAAGATCCTAGTTTAGATTCCCTCAGCAATCACACACAGATAGAACATACAATCTATACAACAGTATGTTTTCTCCTCTCTGTATTACAGAAGCAGATGGCTGGGGACCAACACTCCAAAGTGGTAGAAACCAACTAATTGGTTTGAGGGAAATCAATATGGTGCCGACAGCAAGCCCCTCCTTTCCTTTCACAGACCATCGGTCTCGCTCTGCAATTACCCCATTGATTGGTCAGTGCTAATTGCAGGTCTCATTATTGTAGGTTTCAACCAGTCACTATCACAGCAGCTGAGTTCAAGGGTTAACAGTGAGGAGTAACTGCAAAACAAATATAGCATGAATGCGAGTACACGTGTTCTGAGGATCAGTGAGCTAACATCTATCTGACCAGTATTGATAATGAGATATTTTATTGAGTCTTAGAGGAAAGTTTGCTAATGCGCTACTGCAGCAAGAGGTCTGAGGTCAGATCAGCTTCACAACAGCACCCTTTCAATTGTTAGCATGGCAGTGTGTTGTGCAATACCCCTAAATAAAAATGTTGTCTTTCACTACTCAACCTCATGTCAGATAAGATATAGCTGGATTTTGTCAATACGCTGAACTATTACTGAAATAGACTGAGACACTCGCGCCACAAGCAACATAATATGACCACAGCATGACTCCAAACCGCTTGTGCAGCAACATCCTCAAGTCTAAAAGCACATTATTTATACCACTTCTTCTTTTACTACTCATAAAGCTCTGGTCAAAAGCATAAACTGGCTAAAAAGTCTGTGTGTGCTACTCATAAAGTAAAAAATATATATTTAAGTCATTTTTAATCTACAGTAGCAAAATGAACAATGTGGTCTCATGGGATTGTGTATAAATACCATGCTGGACATCTGGCAGGATCTGATCTGTATGTCTGTTTGTCTTGTCTCTGTGCTTGTTCATTTCTGGTTTGTTTTGGCGTGTGTCAGGTGTTCATCTCGTGTTTGTCCCAGTCTTTTTACGGATTTGATTTGTGAGTGTTCTGTCTGTTGGATCCGTTTTTCTGCTTGGTTGTCCCGTTTCCTGTTTTACTTTGGTAACGTGTCTGTCTCTGGGTCTCGTCCTTTGCTTCCTGTTGTCCTGATTACCCTAATGTGTTCCACCTGTTTTGTTCCCCTTCCTGTTTGTGTGGATCTGTATATATTGTCCGAGTCCCCGCTACCTGTTTTCGCGTCATCACCGTATGTCGAGTGTCTCTCCATGTCTCTGCGCTTTTCTGCCTCGCTAAATAATTATTCTTTACGTGTGGATTTTGCTTTTCATGTTGTGGACTATACCTTTGTTTGGACTTCTACCAGCCACCGATGCATGTAAGCCTGCTGTCGTCTGTTTAAATAAATATTGCTTACTTACCAGCCACTCTTAGTGTTTTTCGTTTGGGGCCTAAAACATTGTTTCCCTGCCTCTGCACTCAGCCGATTCTTGACAACATTGGTGTGTCATGTCTACGCACTTCAAGGTTTTTGCATTATTTAACAAGACAATGTCATGTGACCTTCATTGTCATAGTACACGTTGTCTCTGCACAAAATAAGTCACTACAGCCTAAAAAGCCATGAAATGACCATGAAAAGCATAAAAAACGCACGCAAAATGGCATTAGCATGTTCTTCATATGCTATTTGGTGATAGCAGGCTGAAATTACGTGGGTGTGTTTTGTGCTAACCATGTTTGCATGTTACTGGTGTGTTAAACAAAGACATATTTTTTTTGTGGTGTTGAATGGTCTCTGAATGAAAGGCATTGTACTTAAAACTTTAATGGCTTATTTTAACATGCTTTACCTACAACTATAATATTTTGTCTTTATCTGAAAGCAGTTTGTACTGTAATATGTGGTAAATATTAGCCATTTGGGTTGTCAGTGTTCTCAGAAACTTTGGATTGTTCTGGGCAAATGCCTAAAGCAACTCCACATTACCACTGATGCACCAAATGTCGACATGCTTTACAGACTTCCTATTTACAGTAACCTCCAAGTCACCCTGCTGCCTCTGCTTTATACCAAATATTTTTTAGTTTTATAGTGTTTCATATGACAATACTGCTGTCTGCCACAATAGTAACATCTGAATAATTACTGGCTTTACAGTTGTGTATGCCAAAAGTGAACAGAAAGCAGACTGTATTTTCC